AACAAGCCATTCTGTGCTCCACATTTCCTTTCTCCAGCCCTAAACTGTGCTGCTGAACATCCCCACTAAGACGGTCCCCTGAGCAAGACCCTGTCACTGGAGAGCTGTCCAGACTTCAGAGCTCTGACCCAAGGGGAGCAAGGCCCCTTCCAGCTTTCTGTTACACTACCCCATCTAGTCTGCAGCAATTTCTATGAAACAAGGCACAGCTTGGAGGTGAGCCCACCAGGTGCCCCCCACCACATGCCATGCTCAGGCCATGAAGGCCATGAGTTACCTCAACTGTCTGTATGGGCATCCATTCCAATTCCAGGACATCAAGGAAAACTTTGCAAAAGGGTCTTCTCCCAAGAAACACGCTTCCTGGGCAGCCTGGGTGCCCACATTTTTTGAGGATCCTCAAGTATTCTTAGGAGTCTTTTTGATAGCAGCCAGGTTTACACCACCTTTCAGCCTATGCTTGGTCTTTCTGATCCAGTTCAGTGTCCATGACCTCTACTTCTTTGTACCCTTTGGGTCCTAGGGCTAGCATATGCTGTGGTCCTGGAGTGACCTAGTGACCCAGCTCCACTGTCCTGTGCTTTTATAGCAAGCAGCTCTTCAGGGCTTCCACAAACTAGATGTGTATTTTGTGCTTTGAAACATCTTCTAAACTTTTTTAAACTATGGTTTAAAAAGCCAGGCATGATGATCTATATTAGACACCAAATATTCACCCTGATGAGACTCCCAAACATTAACTTGGACTGTTCTCTCGATGGTTAGATATCACACAGAGCTCAGAATGAAGATTTCCCTGCTTCTCTGACCATATCTGACATGTGTGTGACTGTGTACTGATGAAGGTGTTTGTAGTTCTCCATGTGATTTTGGATTTCAGGCCTGCACAAGTCTGCTCATCAAAATTATATAAGCCATGATGTATTAAAGCACACACTCCAGCACTGCACTCAATTAAATGCCGGACACAGGCCTGAAAGCAGCTGCTTGGTGAATGCTTTAGCCATAGTCGGACCATCATATGTGGCAGTCATAATGACATGTTATAGGCCATTTCATTTATTTATTTTTTTAGTACCGGAGATCAAACTCAGGACCTTGCACTTGTGAGGCAGGCGGCAGAGCCACTGAGCTAAATCCCTGGCCCAGGCCATTTTACTTTTTGTTGTGAGTTCTAGGCATTTGGGGCTAACATAAAGTCATGGAGCGGAAAGACTATAAGATATTCTTCACGATTCAACTCTGAAACAGCAAGTTCTTCTTCCTTCCCTTTGGTGCAAATTGCGAATTCATTTCTTTAAAGACCATCCCAAGATTGCAAGGTGAATTTCATCACAGAATTGTTACCAACTGCAAATTCTTACCTGTGTAGGTCAGGATTATCTTAAACTAGTGTAGCTAACACAAGTACAGATAAACGAGTTGCTGAGGCAGAGGTCTAAGCTACCTTTCAGAAGTCCTGACTTGGAACTTTGGTGTTTATCACAGCTGTTCATTGAACTCAGAGTGCTTAGATATTCTACCTTTGAACTTAGAGCAAATTTATATTAAATACTATCATGTTTGGTTTATACATTGAGATTTTATAGCGTTTTGATCAAGGAATTTTTAAAAGCCTGTCAGCTTCTAAAAAAGTTTGAGGGGAGACAGGCATGGTGGTGAGTGCTCATAATCCTAACACTCAGGAGGCAGAGGCAGGAGGATCACCTCGAGTTTGAGGCCAGCCTGGGCTACATAGTGAGTTCAGGGCCAGCCTGAACATATAAATAAATAAATAGATAGATAATTTGGGGGTGGGGAGGGTGGCTCAGTGCTTGCCTAGTATGCATGAGGCTGTGTGTTCAATCCCCAACATTGCAAAAAAAAGTTTGAAAACAACTTTTATAGTATGGATTATAGATTTCGTGTTCAGAACCATTATCCTGACTATATGTAAAGTAAGGGGACACTTCCGACTTAAGTTCTTTGAACACTGAGTTTCTGATCTACATTAACAGGAGTAACAGTACTTGATCGACTTACCACACATACTTGAGATAAGGATCAAATTCTAAAATGCAGGTGAACTCACAGACGTTCTGAGCAGAAGGGGGCTGAGAGAATATCTTTTAGTAACCCCAGACGGATTAAGTCAAGATCGGTGGGGTAGAAATCACTGTACAATATTTTAAAATGTTCCTCAAGTCTGTCATACAAACCATGGTAAATACCCAGTGACCTGGTCCTAGTTTTAGTTTAAAAAAATGTTTTTTGGTTGAGGTCTAAAGAAGGTCTCCCAGAAAATGGGCAAGATTGGCCCAGAACACAAGCTGTCTGGGCCTCTTTCTACAGCACAGAGCACCTGGACCTGGGAGCCCTTCCGAGTGGGACATGACCACCCACTGCACATATTATACGAAGACACCAGTGAGGCACACAGCTGTAGGACCGATCGCCATAAGAAACTGTACAGTCGAATGCAAATACCAACTTTCACATTCTGTTTTGGTACTAGAGCTCAAACCTAGGGCCTCATGCACGCTACATGTACGCTCTGCCACTAAAGCTACACCCTCATCCCCTGTTTTCTTCTTAAAAGGTTCTTCACTTACCCGAAAAAGCCCAGGAAATGGGGAGCCATGATGCCCTGAGGCCAGGCTAAGGCAAGAGCTCCTCAAAGGCGATGGGAATGTTCTGCAGGTGAGAGTGGTGTTCAACTCCTGTAGAAACAAACGTTGTTACTGTTAGCATCATGTGCTTAGGCATATTCTAGAGCAGAACCAGACTAACAAACCTGAACTGAAAACGAAATGAAAGACAGTAAAACAAAAAAATGTCACTGGCCAGCTATAGTGCTGCGCATGGACATGAGGTGACTTTTTTTTTTAATTAATTTTATTGATACATTTTAGGTGTACAATATAATGACATTCATCATTGGAAATGTGCACCTTTACATAGTCTCTCTTGGTTCTTATTTTTCCCCCTTCCCCTGCCCTCATTTCAACTCCTCCATCCCTCCCTATTTACAAAGACTTTGTTTCCATTTTCTCATATTAATTCCATTTCCTTCTTTCCTTTCCCCTACTCCTCCCACCTCCCACTTCCCCTTCCCCTTTGCCCCTTTTCTTCCCATTTCACCTTATTTAATATACATTTTGATCCTTATTTACACTTTCAGTTTCTCACACCAGAAAAACAATTCGGTATTTACACATGTGTCCTATTTATTTCACTTAAGAGTATCGCCTCAATGTGCATCCATTTAGCTATAAATGTCTCTAATTTCCCATTTTTTATGGCTGAGTA